AAGGTTGTCCTAGGTGGTTTTCAAGTTTATGCACCCGGTTTAAATACCATTTAGCGATTTTACGACAACCGTTTACAACCCAATCAAGGTGACAGCCGAGCTTGCTCTTAACTTATATGCAGAAGGGAGAAGCATCCTATCATTCTGTATCTAGCTGTGAAGGGGGGGGGGCATCCTCAGCGGGTGCCCAACAGTGACGAAAAATAATAGACCACTGAATTCATACACTGACTAATTTTATCAGTCTTTCTGCGTAAAACCTTTTGACAAAAGCAATCAATGAAACCGTTCACATTATAACTTTGAACTTACCACCTCCACCTTTGCATGTATATTTCTTGCGCGCGCAATGAGGAAGTAATACCCAAGCACGTGCACATCCGGTGGGCAGTAAACAATTAACTGAACGGGAAGCTGTGTTACAAAGCCACAACCATGGTCCAACAAATCCACGTCGAAGGACATGAAGCATTCATGAAGACTGCCACAGAGCACAAGGGGAAACCTGTGTTTGCTCTCTTTAGTGGTTCTAAAGATGGTGCAGGTTCTAGTTGGTGCCCAGATTGCGTTAAAGGTACTGCATGGTACATGTTTAAATTTTGACAACTAAGGAGTTAACCACAGGGTATCTATGTACTGCCACTGGTACATGTACTAGTAGTACTGCTAGTCGAACTTAATCGGTTGTACCTCAGTGAATTTTGTAGTGTAATTCCTTCTCTTATACTCAATTACCCAAATACATATATAATTAATGAACAGTATAAATACACGTATTTAAGAGTATATACTGTATGTTATTTATGTAATGTTTCCCTTTTATTATTAAAATAAGTATATCCTTGCCTTGGTGTTACAAGTCATTTGTATAATTTTTAAGTGCCAAGATTGATCTGCATGTACTGGTACATCAGGTACATGTTTATGAATACACTGTATACACTGTAAGTTAATTGTATGCTCATATATATATAAATCTTTCTAGCTGAGCCAGTGGTAAAGGAGTGCATGAAATTTGTCCCAGATGAAGCTGTCTTTATAGAATGTGGAGTTGGAGACAAACCATTGTGAGTACATTTCCATCATATACACTCAAAATGTTGCTTTTTCATCAGTTGAATATACATGTACCAGCATTATTGAATTGAAAGTAGATTTTTGTTGGATGTTCTTGAAAAAGTGAATAGTTCAGTTAAAAATACTTTTTCTACTTTAGTTGGAAAGATCCGAATAATATATTCAGAAAAGATGACAAACTGCGACTGAAGTGTGTACCAACATTAATGCGATGGGGCACGGTTGGTATTCATTATAAAGAGTTTTTCAATTTCTGTAGATAAGTATTCTCAGCCTTTGTTTTTTTTTTTGTTTTGTTTTTTCAATATATTTTGTGTTGGGATTTAATAGGTTTATGCACATTAAGTGTCACTTGTCCCATTGTTCTTTATCTCATTAATGATTTTGTCTTACCGACCTATTTATTAAAGTTGACCAGACCATTTTGTGTGATTTATATTTGAAATGACAGGCAACTGTCTGAAGTAGTCACATCGCTATTTCAGCCACAGAGGTTAGAAGAAGAGCAGTGTGCAGATTCCAGACTGGTACAAATGCTTTTTGAAGATGAATGAACTGATCTCACAGGGAAATGGGAATGATGACTGGGAAATTTTTTTATTCATAGTACACTCCAGTGCAACTGTCTTATGTGGAATGATTGAAGCTGAAGTGATATTTGTCATTTTCTCTTTGATTTGGATATTGATAAAAAATAATAATTTTGTCTGTAACATATTGATCTAGAAATAACTTATTGAATATTGCTCATCTGTGTCACATGTAATCATGACAGGTACACAAATGCACTGTACAGCAAATGTATCTTTTATAATTGAAGATTATCAGCCTGTTACAGTTTCTGTTATTGAAGCTGTAACCCGAGTGAGGTAGACCAAAAGTAAAAGGCGAACAAGAAAAAAAATGATTTATTAATTTAGATCTGTCCTCAAGATTTTACAAACTTTACTGATCACTTCAATAAATGCATTGCCATTGTATTACTTATTTGTTGTGCTATTTACATAACAACCTTCTTTCATAAATCATTTCTAGTGCAGTATCTTTAAACTCGAAATCGTGTTTTATTCACCTAAATATCAAAACTGAATATCTTAAAAAAGATTCAGTTAATTAATGCAAAATTATCTTTTATTTTTCTTGGATTTAACAGAAAATATAAAGTAAATGCCATCATATCCTCTGTTAAATATAAAGTTTTTTTCTACCTACTGCACTTTAGATTGAACATAGATACGCTGACAGTCAATATAAATGCATAATTTATTTATCAAATAATCCTATGGCACATTAAGAAAATAAGTTTTCGTGTGAAATATGACCCATTATTCAGTCACACAAGGTGAAATAAAGGTAGAACAAGGCAGCAAAGCTGTCAAATGTACAGACAAAAAGCAGGAAATAACTATGCACAAAATAGGCTACTGTCAATTCTGATGCAAAAGTACATTATGTTAAACTGCAAATTCAACATCAAATTTTAATTATGCTCAACAGGTAATACCAATGTAAGTAAAATGTGTAACAAGCATAAGGCTTCTGGCCCATGAGAGTTCAAGTTCACACTTTGAAAATGTATAACTTCCAGAAAAAGAAGCCAATTAGACTGCTTTTCCAACTCAGGCTGCATGCCAATTTTCGAACTTGACCTGCATTTTAGTAAGATCGATTACTCCTGAGAGTTTCACGACAACAGGCCTATCAGTTTTCCTTGAAATGTGTTTACAGTGTTGCATATATGTTGAAAAGTGAAAAAAAAGCATAACTTCTACAATAATGGCCTGATCATCCTGATTTTCGAACTTGAGCTGCGTTTTATGAATATTCATCAGCAAGGCGCCGGCCCCGGCAATGACGGCGACGACAGATGCAAGTGATGGCAATATGTACAGACACATTTATATATATTTACTGTACTGTTTGAGAATAGTAATTGAAATGGTTTTTCTTAAATGGTCATCATGGGAGCAGTGCCCAAATTAGGTTTTTTCAAATTTTGATGCAATATTACATAATTTTTAACAGCATAATGCCCATCAATTTTTAATAATAAAATATTACTATCATGGATATTCAGAAAATGTGACTAGCAAAGGTCTTCAGGCCCATGGAACTTCAAAGTCACAACTTGAAAATGCCAAAATGTAAACAAGACAGCACTGTTCTGAAATGGGTTTATTTC